TGCCTAGGGGGCAGTGCCGGGGCAGGGGGCCCGGCCATGACCTGCAGGGACAAGCTGCCAGCAGGGAAAGGCAGAACCAGGGGTGGGAAAGCCCGGTAAGGGCAAGAGGAGGCAGGGGAGGGCAGGCAGAGCAGGCAGGAGCAGCATTAGATGATGGGAGGAAGGCAGTGGGGATGGGAAGGCAGGGCAGGGGAACAGTGGTGACAATGGGGCAGAGCAGCAGGCTGGGACACAAGGCCTGCTCCTGGGACAGGGCTGGCACCAAGCAGGGGTCTTCCTACCGTAGCTTTGTTTCCTGCAGGAGCGGAAAACTTCGCTTCCATAGGGGCAGCAAGAGAGAGAGAGACATCAACACCCGGTTATCGGCCCGGCCTGCGGAGACGCGGGGGTAGCGGGGAGGGACCTTGTCCCCAGCACCTCCCCACGCTGCCGTGGGGCAGAGACCTGCCAGGACAGCACCTGGGTGGGCTGTGCTGGCTCAGCCAGCCTGGCATCCTGAGCCAGGTTTCAGGTCCAGAGATGGGGCAAGGACTGGGCATTTCCAGGGCATGGAAACTGGTCTGGGTCCGCAAGAGTTCCCCAGCATGTCTCTACTCTGCACCCATGTTCACTGCATGTCACTCCAGTGCTGCACACAGACCCTCCTCAGACACAGACTGTCCCACCTGCACAGTGCACGGCACCATTCCCTCTCCATGCCATGGCCACAGCCTGCCCTGCAGGACAGCCACCTCCTGTCCCCAGAGCTACTGCATGTCCCTGTGCTCTGCAGGGCACCACAGGTTGGGGCTGGACCTCCTCAGCCCATGCCCCAGCTGGGCACTCCTGGGGGTGCTGGGTACATGGACATGTGCGTCCTATGTGCAAGCACCCTCCCACTGGCACATACACGCACATCCCCTACCTCACCGGTGGCAAGTGCTGTGCGATATGACCATGCCCACAGCATGGCCCTGGTTGATAAAGTAGTGATCTTTGGCATAAGGCATCAGTGAGAGCCTCCCCACAGTCAGATCAGTGCCATCCTAATGTCCCATCCCAGGAAAGCCAATGCCATGCAGCCAGAGAGAGTCAGACTTTCCTTCCTGCTGCTGCACAAGCCCTCGCAAGCTGCTGCAACAGACCCCTACCACAAGAGACATGTTCCCTGCCTCACCACGGCTCCCCTCCACTGCAGTGCCACAGCATGATGGGGCCCATGCTGCTCCCCCCCACCCCAAATCGCCTCTTTGCAACCCTGCACACTGCCAGCTGCCCTGTGCACTGCCACTGCACCAGGCTCCCCAGCCTGGCCACAACAGCCTGGCAGACCCCAAGGAACCAGAGCTGCGAGGCCC